GAGGGGCGCAGGCTGGCAGAGGACCTCGCCCGCTGGCTCAGCCCAGGTGCGTGGCCACAGCCCTCCTGACTCTGAGCTGCTCCCAGGTGCCGGGTCACTGGTGACTCCAACCTCTAATCATACGTTTCCCTGCTGTTCTGGTTCCACGTCAAATTTGTGTCCCTGTGAGGGTCAGTAGGGCCTGGGTGGGAACAGAGAAGAGAAAGTCACTGGGCAGGAGTTCATGGCCGTCCAACTGTCACTGTCCTCCCTGACGGAATGTGGCCTCTGGAGCAGGAGACAGAGTGTTAGAGAGCCAAGAGCCCTGCACTAGAGTGACAGTCTCTGGAGCTCTTGCCTGAGCGCTGGCCGTCACAGCCGTAGGTCAGCCATGGATTTATCCTGTCTGGACCTCTCTGCCACCATCTGTAATTGGTCACATAATGTGCTGCTCGGTAGCTGTGACTGTTGGATGAGCAAATGCTCAAGGATGTACTTCCAGTGGGGATAAATGTTCCAACTGTTTGGGGCTGATCTAGTCAAAGCAGTGTCTATGTGACAGTTTTGAAGGGACATAGAGCCCTGAGCTTCCTTATGGAAGACGGGGCAGAAAGCTAGAGAAATCCAGAAGAAATCGTGCAAGTATCCAGTGATCCTGAGGCCAAAATATGTTTTAACTTTTCCCTATAAATTCGGAGCTCACCATGATAATGATCCGCCACATTGGGGGCATTTTCCAGGACGGATCAGCACGTCGACCCTCACCACTGCTTTGACGTCAGCAGATGAGCTGGGTTCGGTTCTCTAATGGTACCCTGAGCTCACACAGATAATCTGTCTCCATGCCCAGATAGGCCGGAACATGAATCATGGTGGAAATGGAACTATTGTTAATGTCTGGACATTTCTGAATTTGTTTGCAGAGAACTGTGAAGATGAGGAAGATAAAGAAGATCTAGAATCACTGGCCTCCAGGTAACAATGAATTATCGGGGGCTAGTAGCAAGGGTACAACATGGCAGGGCAGGGTGGTATCTAAGGGACAGAACGTGAGGTCAAAGTCACCAAGATTTCAAATTCAAGGGAAAGTGAGGCTACTCTTTGGACTGATGGCATCCACTGGCCAGAGCTGGCTGAGTCCTGCAGCAAGGGTGTCCTCCTCCTCCCGAGGCCCATCTACTTCGTGGCTCTTGCAGTGTGAGTGTGATCAAGGGAACTAACCAGTCTCAGCATCTTGTCCTTGGATAGATCACGTAGTCTCCTGTGTGACGCTGTAACCTGCGGGACGTGCGTGTCTGCTGTCTGCAGTGTCGCCTTAGTTCATTGACAGGAATGTCATTGCAAGCAACGTAACCAGACCAAGCAGTCTTCCTACGGCACAATTTTGAAACACAAGCCTAGAACACAAGAGATCTCAGGGAGTCTATAGTGCCTCAGGCCGTGTGTTCCCTGCACTGCCGAGTGTGAAATGCACCCTAATCTGTGTGCAGGGTCGACCCAGCGTTGTGCTTCCCTGTGTGCTGTGTGTCCTGCCTGCACCTAACAGGGTGTCTGGGGTGTCTTCCTCCTTAGCTGCTCCTCTTGTCAGTGCGCTTTGCCCTGCTGTGTGGTCTTTCTCTCTCTCTCTCTCTCTCTCTCTCTCTCTCTCTCTCTGTCTATTATCCCCATTCCCAAGGCAGCCAAGCTGTGCCCACGGCAGAGGAGGAGGTGTCCTGCCTTCTTTGTGAACGGAGGCTACATGCCCTTGGACCCCACCCTTCTGCTTCCCGTCAGGCCCCACGGGGTGCTCAGGGGTCTCGTCCCTGCTGCCTTCATCTTTGGCTCTTCCTCTCTCCAGTGTGTACAGTGAGCCGCAGGAGGACACAGGGATTGGAGGACTGTCACAGGCACTGACTGAGCAGGATGTCCCTCCTGGAGCTGACCTGTCTGACTGCCAGGAACCAATCAGAAGCGCCGCCTCCCTGTCTGATGAGCCTGAGGTTGGCTCTGTTCTGGATGGAGCGGGTGAGTCCTCCCGTTATCAAGCCGGTCAATGTCACTGGTGTCCCAGGTGGCCTCCGTGTGCTCAGTCCTCTGCCTAGGCTGAGCCATGTCCCTCCAGGCCTGCCCAGGACACCTTGTTGATTCCTGTCAGGGGATTGGGGAGAGGTTTCTGCACAGAGGAGAGTTGGGTCTGGGAGCTTTGCCATCTTCCCAGCGCCTGGCGTGTCTCTGCCAGCCTGGCCCCCTCTGCCCTTGCAGGCCATCGATGCCCAGGCAGGTCACAGCCCCTGCAGCACGTGCACAGCAGGGTCTGGCCGAGCTTGCTCCTGAGGGTGGCCCTTGCTGTCTCCTGCATGTCCCAGGTGGGGTGTCTCCGGTCTGCAGGTGGAGCTGCAGCTCCAGGAGGCTCGGTGGGAACTCAACCAGGGGCTCAGAGGTCCTGGTCTCTCCCACCCTGTCCCTAGGGTGTCTGCTCTCAAGTTGGCTGTCCTGGGGCCCTTGTAAAGCTTCAGCCTGAGTCTCACACCCACCCCATCAGGACTGGGCTCCCACGAGGAGGAAGGGACATGTCCAGACACACGTATCAGAAGTGACATGAGTGTGGGAGGGGACGGCCCTGCCAGGCATCATTGACCACGACCAGGAGACGCCAATTCTCCTCTGCAATCGGGTCCAAATTACAGAAGGCCGCCTCCTGTGTGGCTTCCCTGCGATAGTGTGAACAGTGTGTGTGTGCAGTGCACAGCCGGGACCCAGCAGCAGTGGCACAGGCGGTCTGCCTTGCCCACCCTCTCCCTTCAGGGAAAACCTGACACACACAGCATGAGTGTCACCTAAATTATACACTGATGTTTTAGTGAGGGATTTCTCCACATAGCCAAGTAACACCGTGCACAGAAATCGGGAATGGGATGGGTGTTGCTCCTTGTCCTGTGCACGGACAGCATCTCTGCAGTGTGTCTTGAGCAGGCTCAGCCCTTAGGGAGAGAGGCTCCCGGCCAGCAGCAGGAATGTGCCACACGCCCTGGCCTCCCTGTAAACTGTCCCCTGAGGGGACCAGGCTGGGGAGACCTGGCTCTGCAGCCATTCAAGAGAGGGGTGGGAAGGGGTTCTTGCGGCTCAAGGGCCATGGGTGAGACCAGGCTGCGTGGAGAGCCACTCTGTCTGAGTCTGCACTGCTGTAAATGGAAGGTCCCCAAGGGAGGACAAGACTTCCCTGGGGCGCGGCTGTATTAGCGGCACCTGTTTAACAGTCTGTGGAGGAGGGTCCAGGATTGGTGGGGGGCTGCACCTCTGCACACAGGTGCAAACCTGAGAATGATCACCCTTGACATTCGAGACCATAGTGGGGTGACACCCAGCTTCAAATATTTGAACGACCTAAGGGACTGGAGGGGAGATGAGTTTTGTGACAATCAGGAGGCAAAATAAGGAAAAACGCGTGAAGGAAGCCTTCAGGGCGTCAGGAGTGGGCCACATACTCAGGAAGGTTCCTGACCACCACGACTGTGCAGGGGGAGAGAGACAGACGGGGAGGCAGTGAGCCCACCTCCTGGGAGAGTAGAGAAGGGACCCGGTGATGTGTTAAGTCAGGGGAGAGATTCCAGCCTCAGTGCGCCCTTCAGTCCTGCCAGCTGTGTGACGCTTGTCTCTGGGCTCCACAATTCCTTCCACACAAGGTGTGTCGTTTGGAGATGTTTCCCTGGGAGCCCAATATGAACTATCCTGGCCTCTTAGTGAGTGTCCCACTTGAGTGATGGTTCATGGTGGCAAACTGTGCCTTGAGTAACTATGGAGGCCACACAGGCCGAGGGAGGAGCTGTGGACAAAGACCTGGACGCCGGGAGGTCCCTGGTGCAGGGCTGGGGTCAGGGAGGGGCAGCCTGACCCCAGGGGAGGATCTGTACCAGGCAGTCAGGGAGTGAGGTTGGATAAGAACGTGGGGCCACAGTTAGCAGGACCACAAGGCAGGGGCAGGACGTGGAGTCATGTCGTGGGTGTGGAGAGGAAGTTTTCAGAGGCCGAGTAGGACGTGATCAGAACAGGACTGTGGGGGATGAGCCCGGCGAGGCGACTGACAGGGTGGAGGCGGCAGCGTCAGGGAGAGCAGTCAGGAGGAGACTGCGGGGATCCGGGCGGCCATGGGGAGAGTCTGACACAGTGTGACTCTCAGGAAGGTGACGCAGAACAGACACACCAAGAACATTTTCAGGGAAACTTGCTCCTTGGTGCAAATGGGGGTGCGCAGTGGGAGGACACAGAGGAGCCCCAGCCCTGTGGAGCAGCCCTGTGGACCACGGTCCCTGCTCGGCCCTCCCTGTGCTGTCGGGGCCTCGGGTGTCTCTTCTTAGCCCCGTCCTGAGAATGTCATTGACCTCCCTGTGGAAGACACGTGTGTGACGGGGACTTGCGCAGGACCCGCTGGGCGAGTGGGGGGTTGGGGGGGTGAAGCTGTCGCTGCTTCCCTGAAAGACCACATGATCCGGTCTCCCTCCTGGCCCCATGTTCCCACCAGGGGACTGGCACCTCTTCTACATTGCTCGTGGCTGCTGACACCCTCTATGAAGCAGTAGAGTCACGTATGTGTGGGCTCCGGGGAAAAATTACAAACGGGAAATTGACAATGCTCCGAAACCCTGAACACTTCCCTTCACTCGGCACCTGCTTTCTAGCTGCTCAGCACCCCTTTCCACGTCTCTGTGTCCTTTCAGCTCCCCTCCTCCTGTTCCTTCTCTCTGTGGGAACAGATCGCTAACTCCCTCCTATGCCCAACAGCCTCTCTGGAACCTTCTCTCTAGGATGAAAGACTAATGCTCATAGGAACAGAATGTGGGCGTGTCCCTGTCTGTCCATCCAAAGCCCTCTGAGCTCCAGTGGGTGATTTTGCACTTCAGGGGCTCTGCTGCCTGGGCCCCTGGTGTCTCCACATCCCCAGGCACAGATCTGACAGGTGGCATCTCCTTCACATACTGGATGTCTGTCTGTGTGGCCTGGGCCACTGGGTGGTCTCACTCACCCACAGGGACACCTGAGATGGGGCTCTGGGAGAATTTAGCAAAGAGAGAACTAGGATTATTCCCACTGAAGCCTCTTCTCCTTTCAGCTGCCATGCAGCAGACCTGTCCCCAAGGGCCTTGGAGTGGAGACTTGAGCTCCTACGTGTCACAGGTGCAAGATGGAAAGACACAGCTGCAGCCAAGCACCCTGGTGACCCACTGTCTGCAGCTGCAGCTGGACCAGCAGTGGGGTCCTGGCTGTGGCTTAGCCAGAAGGAGCCTCCCCTGCGCCCCCTGGAGCCTGGCAGCCAGCGCTGACTCTGGGCTCCAGTGGCTGCTCTTCCCAGGTGGGGAAGGAGTGGGGAACAGGACGCTCTAATGAGGGTGTTGCTGTCACAGTGCAGGGGGTGGAGGGGACAGTGGGGCCCCTCCATGCTCTCTCAGGAACAGGTCGAAATCCAGGTGCTCTCACATTGTGAGAAGAACAAGGTCTTGAGGTTTGGGTCAGACCTGCCCTCAGGTCCTGGGTGTGCCGCTTCCTGGCTGTTCACCTTGCCTATGGCACTTGTCTTGTTAGGTCTTCACATTTAAATTCACCCATCTGAAAGACCCAAAAAATAATGTCTATATTCAATTGTTTATGTGATTATTAAGACAATTACCAAAGTGCCTGATTCAGTAACAGTTGTTCAACTAAAGCTATGACCATGTCATATGTATTCCTTACATCTTCCTGTGATTTATCACCTACATAGTGATTGCACATGGATTTTTTTAGCAATGTTGATCCTGGACCCACCGGCCAGTCTCCTGACATATCCAGGTTTTATTCCAGGTCTTTAATCTTCTATCTGAAATAAACGGCAACCTTTTTATTGTAAACTGTCCAAATCAGTCTCCCCTGTGACCGTCCATCTAGTTCATCACCTGCACACATCGCAGGGCCATGTCCTCAGTTTCCTTCCCAGAAGGACCCATTTCTGCTCAGACTCTCTTAACACGGAGCTCCCAACCCCACATCCTGTCCCTCTGGTCCAGCCCCTCCGTGCTCTCTGTCCCTCTCCATCTCCTCCTAGAGCCTGTGTGCTGCCTGGGGCTCCTGTGTTGGGCAATGCCCTCATCTGAGAGGTGACAAGCCCAGGTACCCACGATGAGAGGAGGGTCAAGAGAGGTCAGGAGCTTCAGTGTGGCCCCACGGGGAGGGCTCGTGGAAAGTGCTCAGTGCAAATCACAGGATGCGAATCCCACACTTGTGCCCTGGTAACCTGTCTCATTTAAGCCTCTGCTATTCCCTCTGATCTGTCTTTTACTTCTTGGATTCCCAGGAGCCCAGCAAAGACGCCCCTCACTGGCCCAGACAGTCTCTCCCCTGCTCACTGGCCCGAGTCCCCTGAAACCGAGGATGAGCGAGAGAAAGTTGCTGTCCAGCAAGTGGAGACTCACATGCAGTTTCCCAGGCCTTCAACTGCGGGTGCAGAGGTAACCCCACCTCTGGTCTTACACGCACGCTGTCCTTCTGCTCTCTGTGCAAGGGGACAGGTCATCTCCTGCTGTTCTTTTTCTTCCACGTTTGTTCCCTCCAACAGCTTCTTTAACCTCTGTCTGCTCTCGATGGTCAAGTTGGTCATTGACTTAGCAAGGCTAGCCAGGTGCCTGGAACGTGCCATGAGAACTCAAGATTATTCCTTTATTTCCATGCTTGGGAACCTGTATCTCCCTAAGAGCGATCCCTGCTCTGACTCCCTCCTACCTGTGAATGAGAACAGTTAAAAATGAGCACATTTTTTGCTCCTTGCAAAAAGTCATTTAGAACCTCGGTCACAGGTAGGAGACCTGCACTGGCCTTGTCAGCTTTGTGTTCAGCCCCAGAGGTGCAGGCTGCGTGATGAGGTGGAATTTCCAGGGACTCAGTATCCCCACGTCGTGGATTCATTTGAGCCGACACTAACTGAAGGACACTCGAGGCCCCCTAAAGTGACATCAGTGCAGAAGTGGCTGCACAGGACAGGACATCAGTCCTTGTAGACCATGGGATGCTTAGGCACCTGCTCTCTCTCCGTTTCATTCCCATTTGTGCTTCCGCAAGTCCAGGCAAAAGTCTAACATGCGACTCCATTGACTCTTCACGCCAGAGGCAGTAAGAGAGCATTTTACTAGTTAACTTTGAGAAATGTGAGTCCAGGGTGGCGTTATAATATGAACACCAAAGATGGGCGACAAGAACACAGGACAATCTGTGCCTCAGACCAGCCCCATTGACCAGACAGTGATGGAACTAAAACTGTCAGAAAGAAGCCTCAAATCCATAAGCCAGGGGGAAGGAAGCCAATCTTGAGAGAAAAGTGAGAAGGAACGAGAATGAAGAGAAATGGAGAAGGTGTGTTCAGTGTCTCTGAATCACGCTGCCCAGTCTGAGAACCTGGTGAGATTCTGATTGAGATGGATGCCTCGAAGTCACGGCTTGGAATTCTGACTTCAGTGATCTGGGGTGTGGTTCGGGCGTCAGTATTTTGAAAGGCTCCCAGGTGATTCTAACATGGAGCTCTGATATTTGAAAGATGTTTTTGACCTTTGTCCCTTTTCCTGGCATACAACTCCTCAAATCCTTGGAATCTCCAGAGCGATGGCTTTTTTATGGCCATGTTGACTGATGGCTGGCAGCCCTAGGAGCTTCAGGGTGGGGGCTGGCCAAGGGAGAGATGAAGGCAAGGGTACAGGACTGGGACTTTCAGCCCCACCCTCCCCCTCCTGGATGGCAAGAAGGGCTGAAGGTTAAGTTGATCATCAACAAGGCCAATGGGTTAATCAGTCGTGCCCATGTGATGAAGCCTCCATAGAAACCCCAAGGTACACAGCCCAGGGAGCTCCTGTATAGCTGCACCATGGAGGCGGGTAGAGGTGGTGCCCCCTGGGTGGGCGTGGAGCTCAGAGCCCCTCCCCATAGCTCACCCCGTGAATCTCTCATCTGCATTCTGTGTAGTGTCCTTTCTAATAAACCAGTAACCGTGTTTACCTAAGTTCTGGGAGGGACTCTAGGAAATTGGTGCCAACAAAAGACAGGGTGGTGGGAACCCCACTTGAAGTGGGTGAGTCTGAAATTCTGGAGGCTGGGACTTGTCAATGGTTTCTAAGGGGAGGGAGGTTGGGGGACTGAGCCCTCACCCTCTAGGTAGACAGTGTTAGAATTGAACCAGGGGACACACACCTGGTGTCCACTGCATAACCGATTGATTGCTTGGTGGTGGGGAGAAATCTCAAACACTTGGTGACAGCCGTCCTCTGTCACGATGGTTGGGTGTCATGTGAGAGCAGAGGACGGACACAGTTAGGGTTTTTCCAAACAGCTTCTGAAGAAGAAACAGACAAGTGGTCCACTGTGACCTCAGGTTATCGATGTGCAAGTGCCCAGATGTGTGGCTCCTGCACAGAAAAGGCTGAGCATTCATCAGCCATGGATGGAGTTTCTTTTTCCCTCTAACGTGCTGGGTGTGTGACAGGGGGGAATGGCGAAGAAAAGCAGGTGGACAGATGGATCAGAACTATGGCCGCTCTGCTTGAAGCTCACTTGTCCAGACTGTTTTCAACACAGGATCCAATAAGAAATGATCATTACATCGAATTCCACTGTACAGAAAACAATACCTCTTCTTATTATGCATAACAGAATTTAGTATTTTCTTTGGAATATTTAAAATAAATCCTGAAATTTACATATCTCACATTAATATCACAGCCCATGAAAGTGGTCAGCACTACAATTAAAACATTTTATTTTTGGTCAATTACTGTCATTTAGTGAAATCCCCAAACGGAACTCTTAGGTCTCATTCCCCTGAAGAGAATAGAAAAATAGATCCAAAGTGAAACTCAGGAAATGGCTATGTATTTATATTTCTTTATGCCCCTGTAAACGCTGGCATACAATAGTACATCAGGAATGTGTCCTGAGAAAGGACTTTGGGGAAAGAGCAGGGCGCAGGGAGGTACAGTGCAACCAACGTCGTCCTTTTCACGTTCCACTCAGAGTTTTCCTGGTCTGGACGTGGACAATGTGCCTAGAAATGCCTTAGGTGGTAACCGGGTGTGGAATCACCTTCAGGGAATTAGGGACAATGAGTTGAGCCTTGGTGACAGTCCCTGCTCTCTCTGTGCAATTCCATTTGGAGTCTCTCCTCCTTCCTTTCCTACTTACCCCCGCAGGAAGAATACTTTTACTATTTCTAAATCCTGATCCCTGTCCTAGCCAGGGGGACCCCCAGCCCCCAGTGACTTGTTCATTTCTCCGTTGGACCCTTTCTCTCCTTCTTCCAAACAGTGTGGAAAGGGCCTGAGGCCTGGGTTCCAGTTCCAGGCTTGTCAGTAACAGGTCACGTGGCTTTAGTGGAATCTCAGCCCTGTGGCACCACCCTCTGCTCCTCAGGAAAAGGGGGATCTGGACTTGGGTGTGTCTGAGGTCCCTGCTGGCTCTCACAGCCAGGGCTCTTCCCACAGCCGCCCACCCCTCCCTAAAATCCAGGACCTGGAGTTATAAGGGCCTGTTTCTCTGCAAAGGGCCTCTCCCCCTGCAGCTGTCTGTTTCTGAGTGTGGTGGTTGACACTGAGCATGTCCCTCACCAGGAGGTGTGAAAAGCCATCACTTTTCTGCAAACAAAGGAGGAAAGTGGTTGATTTCACCAGGTCCTGGTAGGGTGGGGACAGGGTCCCCATTTCCTGCCCCTCAGGCTGACCTTAAGTTCAGGGAGGTTTTCTTCTCCACTGTGGCTGTCACTGGCCACTTCATCCCATCATCCAACAGTAACTCAGCGTGGCCCTGGGTCTGTCCCACTCAGCCCTCCCTCCCGACTCAGCCACCAGCAGGACCTCACAGACTCTGACTGGATTTTTTTTGTTTTTTTCAGATATCAAGTACTGCTGGAACTATGAAAAAACTAAACATGTTTCACAAAAAGTTACATTTCTACCTGAAAAAAAATCTGAACAGTAGACCTGCATATAATTGGGAATAAATATTTTTATTTCCCTATTTATTTCTATACTGTCCCCTCTCCCATATTTTGCCCTATATTTATCATAAAGACAAAGCATTAATATTTTATGTTAGAACCTTTTCTTTGACCTAAAATAAAGTTATTTAAGACAAACTAAAATGTGCGTGTGAGCCTACTGTGCCCGTCCCTGTGGCCCTGTCCTTGCTCATTCCGGCCCCTGTGACAAACACCGAGAACCGGGTGGCTCATGATCAACAGAGATTCGTTTTCTCCCAGGTCAGAGGCTGAGACGTCCAAGGGGGACCAGCAGGCTCGCTCTCTGGCGGGGACCCCTCTCCTGATTCGTCCATGGCCCTTTCTCTCTGTGTCCCACGTGTTTGAAGGCGGCTCT